ATGATGCGATGTCCAGAGCATTGTCTTCAAAATCCATTTTGCGTTTGGAAAGGTTTCTGAGCACAAGCGGCATTGAATCTCAGGCTCATTTTGTCATTCAGCGTCAAGTCAAGAAAACCGCTTGCGAATCAGAGTCAGTAATCAGATGCAAAGCGCTTGCCACACATGAACAATCGACTCGTGCAACCAAGGAAAAAGACATTGCAGGAGTGGCCCGGTTAAAGCGCAGAAAGACGCCCAGGTTTAACATTATCTAAGCTGAGCTGTGATTTGGACCAAACTCAGGAACTGGCGCTTTCTTTGCCCCAGGGCCTCAGGGACAGGCGAATGCAGATGCTGTTAGACTTAGTCAAGGACAACCCTGGGACCTTCAAGTTTGCTGGAGTGAGGATTTGCAGCAGGGCGTTTCAAAAGCTTACAGGGATATCCAGTGGAACCTTGCAGAACATTCGTAACAAGATCGAGAAAGGAGTGGTGAGCATTTGGCGTAGTGACGCCCTTGCCTGGACGGCAATCCGCAATCAAGCAAAGGCCCACCGCTACCTGGACAGCAGACAGTGGATCGAAACATATGCTGAAACGCACGGGGAGCGTTCACCGATGAGCCTCCAGATCTATCTTCCAGCGGGCAGGAAGTTTTTCTACCATTCGCAGTATGACTTTGAGAGGAACCTTGGGCTGTGTTGAGAAAAAAACGTCGGTAGCAAATCCAAGTATGTGAAACCAAAGGGTGATGCGTGACATGTTCATACAAATTGTCACACCATGTCACACCTAGGAGTGAGCAAAATTTGGGGCATTTGGATGGAAAGCCTGCGGATTTATCGACCTTTCGCAAAGCTTGGACCAACGAGCTGCCTTGGGTTCGCGTTGCCAAATCAGATTCTCGATTGAAGCCGTAAAGTTGATTGTCGGAAGGCATAAGCCATGTGACTTCTCATTTGTGCTGAACAAAGGAGCCCATGTTCACCGCTTGCTCGGCCTGCGCCTTTCTGAAGAACATGTTGGACAAGACCCCGAGAAGTGAACTCCAGATTCTCACCGCTGTGAAGAAGCGATTAGGACTGTGATTCACTGCCTGACTGTGACTGACTGACTTGAATTGCATAGGTATTCGTGATTGGTTCCAGGAAGACACTACACCTTCCAGGCAGCGCAGCGGCTGGCAATTGCAAGGTGTCAAGAGATGTGCCGGCGAACTGGAGAAGATTGGTGACCTCTGTTTGAGGGCGTGTGAATGTCAGCAGTGAATGATTTTGATGCGCGACATTGCCACTGACCATCTGACCCTTGCTGTCAGGTACTTGTCAATTGACAAGTGTGACCAGAACAAGACCATCCTCCCATGCGTTCATGATATGTTAGTGATTTCAATATTTGCTACTGTGTCATTTTTCCTGCTGTTCAGAAAGCGTCTTGAACACCGCCAAGGCTTGCCACACAGTTGTTCAAGCTGGGGGAGCGCTTTGTTGTTGGCGTTGTGGGTGTGCATTACGCTGGCCCAAAGCGCATCTTGGATACACGTGCAAAATCAGTTTTCTGCAGCTTTTGTTTCACGCAAGCTCCGCAGAGTGCCTGAGGTGAGGATGAGTTCTGCCTGACCACCACCTTGGAGAACGCCTCCCATGGAGCCAACTCTCAGGCAACAATGCTCACGAGGCAACTCCATCGTACCGCTATGAAAGAGGGCCGGCTCCCACAGTGCTTGTATGTGGGGGCCGACAACACCCCGAAAGAGACCAAGAACAGTACGTGCGTATGCTGGGCCATTTGGCTGCTGGCAACCCTTCACAATGGCACTGAGTTGAAGGCTGTGGAATTTCAATACCCGCTGGTGGGACACACTCACGGATCGCTGGACCGGTTCTTTTCCAGATTGATTACATCGTTGAGGGGGCGAACGTATTTCACAATGGACGAAATGGCCACTATCTCTTCCCAGTCATTGAAGGCATTTGCCATGAACTGGAGCCACCACGGTTCAAGCTGCGACTTCGCTCACCTTCGCACCTTGTATGGCATCGAGCTTCACCGATATCGAAATGTCCACTCCCTCCGGCTCTATGTGGACAATATGGGGATTTGGGTCAAGTGGAGGCAATACGTGTCATCAGATGAGTCATGGTCAACACCACGTTTGCTGGTTGAGTATGACCGCGTTGCCGTGTTTGCCACGGCAAAACCGCCTTTGGTGAAGCATGAGTTTGATGAGCAATCAAAGGCGAAGCGCTTGAACTTCTTAGACAAGTTGGAAGCTTGGGCATTTGTAGCTATGATTCGTGATTTCTATTAATAATAGTTTTTTGTCTGATCTTGGCCTAAGGAAGCCTCATTGGCAGCATCGGGCCAAGTCGCAAGGGAGCAACTTCGTGAATTGCGGGCTTATTTGGATGGACCAGATGCTGGCCCATCTCTGGAAGCTTGATGATAAATTATTATTGCGACGTGGGTTCATTCATATGCACTGAGGAGACTATGATTTCGGATTTGAGAAGTGCTCATTTGGGCCCGTGCCAGCTTGTCGCCAGAGAGCCAGACCCCCTGGAAATCCCAAATGACATCTACTACTCAATTTCGATGGGGGCTGACATCGGCCACTTGCCTCAGGAGTCTCTTGTCACCATGACAGGCTTGGACGAGTCGCGAGCACCTGCCAGGAAGGCTTTCATTGGCCCTGGCGACTTCTGTGTTGTGGCTGGCAAAGATCAAACGCTGCCCATCGTTCTCGGAGTTTTGATGGAGTTGGTAAATTACGATGGCGAAGAGCAGGGATTGTTCTTTGGAGGCATTGAACAGTTTGGCAATTCAAGTTTTCAGGTGGAGCAGTTTGATTGACAGCCACAAACCAAGGTTTGCGTGGTACCATCCAACACGTTCACCAGAGATGAACACGCGAGCCGGGCGCAAAAAGAAGGTCCTGGACATTTTCGGCGCCTGGATCCCTGCAGACGATGTCTCACTCAACGAGACATTGACGTTGCCTTCGGTGCTCCAACCGGCATCAAAGGTGCTGGCTTGGGACTTTGATCCAGAGCAGGATGAGGAGGGAGATGCGGTCAGCCTCCTCATCCCGTTCTCAGTGTTTGATCATGTGATGGATGTGCGTCGCATCGACATCACGGGGCTGAATCTGTCATCCACCAAGCGAGGAAATTTGTACAGAACGCATCGCTTGATGATGCCTTTGGGATCTTGAGGTTGGGGTTGGAAAAGTTGGCGATCTCAGATTCAGATTCCGCATTTTTCCTCAAGAACACTCATTTTTTTCAGCATTCAGATTCAGATTCAAATAGTCAGAGGTCAAAGGTCGTGTCAAAGGAGCTGTTCAAAGTCACAGGTCAAAGGTCCTCAACGGTCATGTCAAAGGAGCATTTCATGTTCAAAGTCAAATACTGCGATTTGAGTTTGATGTGCCATATCTTTGCCCTCACTCCGCAGACCCTTGTCGAGCAGGTTCTGACAGGTCTTGTTAGAGAGCCATGTCTGACCTTGACGATGCTGAAACCTTCATGCTTGAGTTGCTGGTGAGACAGCTGGATGACATGTCACGCCTGGCCAAGATGGAGCAGTGTGCAGGTGTCAGCTGCAAGATTCTATTAGTTTATGATTGTCGTGTTGAATGAATTTGGTTTTGGTTTTCAGTCTTTCCGAGTACTTCTTCAGGTTGCAGCGCTTCGTGATCGCTTTATCCAGGAGAGACCATTTGACGCAGGAAGAACCGGGGTCACTCGGCCGTCGGATTTCTTAAGTGCGTCAAGTGAATGAGTCTGACACTCCAAGGAAGTGATGATTTTGATAGCCGTGTGACTTTGGAGAACATCAGGCACTCTGTGACACTGAAGTTACTTGACAGCATTCCTTTGTCGTTCATGTCTCCGTTGTGTCAAGGGTCCGGTTTTTGACTCGAGGTATGTTTGGGAGAAGACCCAAGAGTTCTTGTACAACCAGTGTGAATCTATGCTGAGCAAATCAAGCAATGCGATGGAAGCTGTTCAGACTCTCAACAAGATGGATATCAAGGCAGGGAAGGTAGTGGCTCTCATCGTGACTGCAACCTGCACATATGCTCCTGGTCAGGATGTGGGATACCATACCACGGCCCCAATCAGCGGAAAGATGTATCACATTGCACCATGGGTGGAAGGACCGCTCTTTCATTTGGGCCCCTTGTCCAACAGTTGTTTTTGTTACATGTTTTTGTCACATGTTTTCTTTGTCACATTCGAGATTTGAGGTCCCAACGAAGAGATCAGATTCAATCAGTGCGGCTTCAACCTGATTTGTCTCGCCGATGTGACTGCGGAAAGCGATGACATGTCGATGTGAGGGTGAAAATGAGCTGTGCGGAGTGGATCCCTTTTAGTGATAACACGTTTCATCACTGAACGCTGTGATTGCCAGGACTTGCCTCTCCACCAGCTGGCGTGCAGCTTTGGGTTGTGGGTTGGGTGATGGGTTGGAGGTTGGGGGTTGGGTTGGACTTGTGTTCATCATCATCATCATCATCATCACTTTATTCTTCTTCTTCCTCCCCCTCAGCTTTAGCATCTTAAATGAAGAAATTTGAGAGCATCTTCTTCTTCTTCCTCCTGAGAGCATCTTCATCTTCTTCCTCCCCCTCTTCTTGAGTATCAATAGCGTCAGAAACAAGAAAACTGAGAGTCAAAAAAAAAGTGGGAGTCATTTTTGCAAGCCCCTCTGATAATGAACATACAGGGGCCTCACTAGCGCTGAAACATCTTACGGATGGCGTTGGAACGCGCAACGTATTTTCTTTCTTCTGTTGCTGTTTCTCAAGTATTTTAGGGTTGGTGTTTCTTATATAGTTCCTTTTCAACATTTGTGTGCGCACAGTGGCTGTACCGTCTGACGTTGTGCGCAACAGTGTGAGTTTACATAGAGCAAAATCGAGTCATGATTGTCTTAATTGCAGGCGATGCACAAGTCATCTTTGAAACTGTAGCGCAAACGAGAAAGAATCATTACCACGATTCTGGAAGGTGGTTCTTCTTCGTGAGTCGCAAGAGAAAAAATTTGGAATCAAATATGCCATGACCCTAGCAACTCAAGGACAGACTGGAGAGTGACACGAACATGAAGTTTGAAGAAGATTCAGAACTGGATAAGTACCTTGTCACGAACAGTTGACCCTACTCTTCTCCACCCCGAAGACACAGTAGATGCTTGATAAGGGCGGGCGTATGTATCTTCTAGATTGAATTTGTTTCTGTTTTCATTGAATGCTTTTGGAATCTCTTGCTTAATTTTGGTATCTTGGCTATTGGCTCCTGGGTGGCGTGTTAAGTTCTCATTTGGGAACCCAACAAGGACAAGGAGGCAATTCCAGTTTGGAGGTTCAACACTGCAACTAATCGTGGCAGAAACAGGCCACAGTTGCTAGTGAATGGTGGAGGCGTGTGGAGGCGCCTTGAAGAGTGAAGCAAGCGTGTGCTTAATGGCTTTCAGCACGAAAGGCATGCGTACGTAAACGTGGCCTGTTGCTGGGGATCGGGAGGATTGGCGGCGTCAACAAGGCTTGGTGTTACGTTGTTGTATGTGGTCTCTGTCACACTCGCGACACTCTTTAGACACTCTTGCTTGACATGTGTAAGACAGTTGTGAGGCCACTCTTGTCATGGGACACTGTAGGGCATTCGCGGGACACTCTTGCAAAGACGTCTGTTGTGGGACTCTCTTGCAGAGCACTCCTCCCTCTTGTGGGAAACAACCACTTATCCCCTTCACCAGCGACAAGCCGCGTTTACGCACGCATGTTTCCCGTTCCCCAATGGCACGGAGCTACGCAAACACACACTTTCCACCCAGGCCGCACAAAACTGCATGGCACATAGACATCACAGACGTAATTCCTACCAGAGTGTCCCTGCAAGAGCGTTGTACATGAGTCCACTGCAGGCCCCACAGGTATATCTTGAGACAATAACATACTCTATCTTGGAGCTGGCACCAGTGTGATCATTATATATCCACATTTTCACCATCATAAACCCCCTGTTTGCGGAGTGCGTCGCAGCTTGCAGGTTTGCTCTTCTAGATTCTAGAGCTGCTGCTTCAGATGTGGCTGTACTACACATGCATGCCTGCAGTTGCGATTGATCCACACGCGTTGATGCAAAATAAAAAGCATATTGAGCAACAACAGAACTTACTTCTCGGGCCATTCGTCCTCGAGTCTGTTCCTCCTTCCTTTTCAGTTTTCAACGATTTGGAGAGGAAACAAAGATCCAAATCAAATTCCGAAACGAAGCTTCATGTTCTGGCCTGACTTCTAGAAAACTTTCTACAGTTGGATTTCGGATTGTGCGATCGACTTGTGATAGGCCTTTTAGGATTTTCCAGTCAACTACCTGGGTTTTGCGTTCTATTTTTTCTGTTTGATCTACGCTGAGGTTTCTCAACAGGACGGCCGGCTGAAGGTCGCTGAAATTTCGTCGGAGGCCTAGAATTTGTTGGGGGCTTTGCTGTTGAGACAGCTACGCAAGTCTAGAGGGCAGTTTGGATAATTTCAGACAATTTTCAGCAAAGGACAGTCTCGAGCTAGTTCTGAGGGGGTTGCAGGCTTTGGTTCTAAACTGCAAGGTACTTGCCATGGGTCTGTTAGGTTGATCCCCAAAAGTTGTATCAGTTGCCAGATCTTGGTGTTTTGAGGTTGTTTGTTATTTTGCAAAGCCTTCCGGACTAACTGTATGCTTCTGATGGCAACCTTTGGAGAGGATCTGAAGGCTCCTGTGTCTCTCCGTAAGTTCAGAAGCAGAATGTTTTTCAGGCAGCAGTGGCTCATGACTGCAAGATACTTGTCATGAGTCTGTTGGTTTGAATTCAATTGTTGTATCAGTTGCCAGATCTTGTGTCGTGCAAAGCCTTCCAGACA